AAGGCGCATATACTGTTAAAAGAGGTAGAAAACTGGTTATCTCCGTCAGAGCTTGCAAATGATTTGGATAATTACGTTGCAGCAATGCCTAGAAATTACAATACGAGTGCTCAGGAAGTAAATAAAGTGGGACCAAAACAGGAACCGATAAGACAAGGGGAAAAATTAGGACGACCAAATAAGAGTAAGGGGAATTTCAGTTCTGATTACAGGGTTGATAAGGAGAAGTACAAAGGGGTAAAAACTTTAGAACCTCAAGGAATGATGCAGGCAAATAAGAAAGTTCTAAAATGTTTTCAGTGTCAGGGTGAAGGACACATAAAGCGTTTTTGTCCAGCGATAAACCTGATAGCGAAACCCAAGAGAGGAAGCGAAAAAGAGGATACGGATGAGGTGGAAGCAAAGGGATTAAATAAAATATGCGTAGGGTTGAAGTTAGCTAACTATGCAGAAGAAATTCCGTTAACTAGGGCAAGTGGGGAATTACCTAGGATAGAACTGCAGATAGGCAACGCTAGATTCAAAGGAGTGATTGATAGCGGAGCAGAAGTTACTGTAATCCGGAAATCGGTAGTTCCACAGAAATATTTGGAGTCTGGAGGGAAGATATGGTTACAACCCGCCGTGGGACCCCAGGTAGAAGCCCAATTAGTTACAGTACCTATCAGTATCTGGTCAGGAGAAGAGGAGGTACAGCCTTATGTAAACGTTCATGCAGCAGTAGTGCATAATTTGAACGAGGAAGCGCTGGTGACACCTCGAGATTTTAGACTTCTCAGGGAACAAGGAAATATTTATTGGGGAGAAGATAAGGAAGAAAAACTAGTATTGGGAGTTGGTCAGGTATCGAGTAACTTGGACGGAAAGGAATCGACAGAAAAAGCCAGTCACGAGGTCGAAGGTGAAACGGAAATAGCTCGTACTACACCGTTGGTAAGGAGTAAAGATGAGGGGGAAGTAGAAGTGGGAGGCAGTGAGCAAGTGTCAGCTGATAACCCACCCTTATCGCAAACTCAACGTTTTAGACAGGAGCAAGCGGAATGTATTTCGCTGAAAAGCGCGTTCATGGATGCACGTAATAACAAGAATGGGTATTGGCTGGAGTCAGGAATTTTGTACCATACGGGAAGTGTCAATGGGCAGCGATGTAGTCAGTTAGTTGTTCCTCAAAGCCGCAGGAAAGAAATTGTGAAGTTGGCTCACGAAAGCTTACAAGGGGGGCACTTCGCAGCAAAGAAGACGGCGGAAAGGATTAAAATGTCGTTTTGGTGGGAAGGATTGTCAAAGGAGGTGCGGAAGTGGTGTGAAGCTTGCAAGGAATGCCAGCTACGAAGGAAAGTTAAAGTGAAGGATAGGGCTCCAATTACAGCAGTAGGGAGGCCAGAACTTCCATTTCAAGTGGTTAATGCGGACGTTTTAGGGCCGATTGAGCCGAAATCTTCAAGAGGGCACCAGTATGTGTTATGTGTTGTTGATCAACATAGCAGATGGCCGGAGGCAATTCCACTAAAGGCGATAACAGCGAAAGCTACATGTGACGCTTTCATTGATATTTTTCATGCGAACAGGAGTTCCGAGAATGATAGCCATGGATAACGGAACGAACTTTAAGGCTAAGCTAACACAAGAATTTTTAACTAGGTTAGGGGCCTCGCCAAAATTTTCTACGCCAGGGTATCCGCAGTCAAACGGGCTAGTGGAAAGGTGGATAGGAACAATGAAGTCAATGTTGCATCACGCGATAAATACTCAAGGAAGAAACTGGGATAAGCAGTTACCATATTTGTTATGGGCTTATAGGGAGATACCGAATTCAACTACCGGAGTCTCACCATTTTTGCTGATGTATGGTCGGGTGCCAGTGGGGCCACTGGCGATACTTAAATCAAGTTGGGTAGATGAGACGGTATTACCACAAGGAGTTGGGGAATCAGTTACTGAATATTTAATTTCTCTTCGAAATAGGTTACAGGAGGCAGAGAAATTCGCTAAAGAAAATTCGGAAGCTAAACAGCAGAAATATGTTCATCATCATAATTTGAGGTCTAAGGAAAATGAATTCGAGATAGGAGATGAGGTAGTAGTACTGATACCAACGTCAACAAATAAACTTTGCTCGAAATGGACAGGACCTGGAGAAATAGTTGCGAAAAAGTCTCCACATTCATATTTGGTAAAATTGCCAGATGAATCTGTTAGACATTTGCATCAAAATAAGTTACGGAAATATATACAGCCTATAAATGCAGTAGGGATAATCTATGAGGCTGACACAGAATTTGGGGAGGTGCAGCACGCGCCTATTCAAAGAAACCCTAAAGTAGACAAACTTTTAGATAGGATCTGTGTTTCAGAGGAATGGAAACATTTAGATAGGTCACAAAGGGATCAGTTGAGCAGATTAATCAAATCTTTCCATGTAGTGTTTGACGGGGAGATTAAATGTGCGAAGGTAGGATCCCACAGTATCAGGTTAAAAACGGGAGTTGAAAGAAAGCAACCTCATGTTTATAAGGTAAGGTACCTGAGGCGTTGAAGCCACAGGTGGAAAAGCAAATTGCTGATTTGTTAGAAAGAGGTTTAATTGAACCTTCCACAGCAGAGATTGCTTACCCTATTGTGTGTGTAGCGAAACGGGACGGAAGCGTACGTTTATGTTGTGATTATCGAGGGCTTAATGCGGAAAGTCAGATTGTCCCATTTCCTATGCAAAACGCAGAAGAGCTTCGATATAAGGCAGGGGCAGCACGTTATTTGTCTACGCTAGATATTCTTAAGGGGTATTGGGAAATCCCTATGGAGAAGGAAAGTAGACATCTGACGAGTTTTGTTTCTCCGAAGGGTCAGTATCAGTGGAAAGTGATGCCGTTCGGTTTGTCAGGTGCTGCCGCAACTTTCCAAAGAGTTATGAATCAAGCTCTTAGACCACATAGTGATTATGCTGAAAGTTTCATCGATGATATAATTGTCTATTCGTCAACGTGGGAAGAACATCTTAAACATTTAAGAGCCGTACTCAGTACTTTACAGACATTGAACTTTACGGCTAATTTAGAGAAATGCTCTTTTGGCAAGTCGGAGGTAAAGTATTTAGGTCACATAGTAGGCTCAGGCAGACATGGCCCAGATCCAGAGAAATTGCAGGTCATTAAAAATTTGAAGCCACCTAGAATTAATCAGTTTTGATATCTATCACGAGAAAAATCTATACCTAATGATATATACCTTGGGGGTCTGAAGCCGAGAAGGCATTCAAAGAATTAAAGGATGCATTGTGCACGGCATCGTCTTTATATACGCCGGATATACGGAAACCTTTTGAAATTAACACAGACGCCTCACTAATAGGTATTGGAGCGTGTTTACTTCAACGAGATGAGTATGGGAAAGCTAGACCGATAACATTTGCTAGCCAGAAATTAACTAGCGCTCAGTCTAAATGGAGCACTATAGAAAGAGAGGCGTATGCAATTATTTGGGCTCTCGACAAGTTCGAAACTTGGACATACGGAAATAAAATTTTGTTGCATACAGACCATAACCCATTAAAGTACTTAACCGAAGGGATACCCCGGAATGCTAGATTACAGAGATGGGCATTAGCTCTATCCCGCTTCCAAGTCACTGTAATGCATAAACCAGGAGCTAAAAACTCCGATGCAGACGCATTGTCGAGGATCCCTCACGAATGTATAAGTGACCAATAATCTGAACTAAATTGGAAAAAAAAAAAGAAACTAATGTTGGTATCATATATTTTTTTGTGTGTGTGTTTGTTTATTATTGTAACACTAGAAAGGATAATGTTCAATGCTAGTATGGCAAAAAGTATATAGATATTGTAATTTTCATTTATTATTTTTTTTTTTGTATTATTGTGGTTACTTACTCTAGAAAAGATTGTGTTATTAGGGTATATTAGTAAACGAATTATTCCTTACAGAAGTGTCAGTGAGTTGATATTGCAATGTTTTGTTTGTATCGCTATAGAAATTTGGACATGTGCAGTTTTTATGTTTATGTGTTTTTTAAGTGTTCTTTTTTGTGTTAGTGTTTATAACTGTAGCATGACCCTTTTTTTTTGCTCTCTGATTTTACTGTGATTCCTTGTGCTGTGTCCCGGAAAAGAGGGACTACCTGGTAAGTGCCAAAATAATATGGGTTTCAAATTTTTCGACTCAGTCGTAAATATTTACAAACCAGAGGGGAGGTGTGAAGTTCCTTCCCCTGATGAAAGACGAAGAACGGAAGTGACTTACCCCGGAAAAACCGGTCGAGGCAGGCTGGTGGGGGGGAAGAAAGACTGGACGGAGAGGGCACTGGGAGTTGGACCGGCGAGCATGCCGTGTGAGAACGTAGAGAAAAGAAATATGTTTTAATTTCTTTTGCGCGCCTTGTATATATATATATTGTATATAGTTTATTTTACAGTGTACTCGTTGTATGGTGTATCCATAGTGCAGTTTGTGTAATAAATTAGTGAAGAAAATGTCAAAGCGGACAACTGTTATTTTCCCACTATGGTAAGTTTACACAGAAGAACCCACCTCGTGTTTGAACGAGCGGGCATCGAATAAGATGGATCTTCGTTTCGTAACAAATTATATTTCTGAATAAATGTTCTTTAGAAAAAAATTATAATCAGCTGATAAAAAAAAAAAAAAAAAAAAAAAGTTCTACTCGAATGATACATGAAATTTAAAAGTTAACATTTAAGGTCTTTTCGTCTCTCCTTTCTCTCTCTCTCGCTTTTTTTTTTTTTTTTTTTTTTTTTTTTTTTTTTTTTTGCTTTAATGCAAAATGCATTAATGCATTTTTTAACGAAATACATAATGCAGTTATTATTTATTAATTACGTTAAATTATGTGCTAAAAATTAAAGTAATTCTTATCTTTTTATCTGGTACATATATGCTTTTTATTAAATAAATACACCGTAGATTTAAAAGTTAACATAAAATACAAGCAAGTGATATATGATATTTTTTTTACAGGTGCTCCAAAATTTGAAACGAAGTTTACAATCTTAAGCGCAAGGAGAGGAGAAAAGGTTCACATGAATTGCAATGCTTATGGTGATATACCAATGACATTTACATGGAGAAAAAATGGACTAATGTTAGATCTAATCTCAAAACCACGGTAAATGAAAGCTATATTAAGTACTTGGATCTGTTATCTGAAACCCTTAATCTGTTACCTGTTAACCCTGCAATTAGTTGCCATGTACAATAATAGCCTCATGACATATATTCCACTCTATAGAAACATATCAGAATAGTGATAGATTTAATCTAATACTTGAAGTTTTAGTACTTGAAATTTTTAGTACTTAAAATTTTAGTACTTGAAGATATATGGTTTTGGTTCTCAAAGTTAAGTAAATTACAGTAATTCATGGTAATTCCAAAAATATTTCCTTCATTTGGTTAGTAATTACTCGTATTTGCAAATAAAAGCCGCGTTCCTTCTCACATTCAGTTATATGAAGTAATATAATTTTCTGATCAGAAACTTAGTTGTTGCAATTTAATTTCTTTAATTAGCTAACTATTTATCTTATGAATATTTATTTGATTTTATATTGTTGCGTGCGTATGGGTTCCTGATGAATTGAAGGTACACAGAACCGATGATAGCTTCATAAAATTTACTCTCCCAAAAGAAACACATTGCAAAACTAGAACTTTCCACAAAAGTACTCGCAAAGCTCTTCTCAGTAGGACAGAGCACAGTCAGTAGTTACCACTCCAAACTACTAATAACGCTATACACAACGCCATGCAAAGCGCATCGCTCGCGTGGAAGGTTTCTCAATTATTCACAGTTATTCAATTACAGTATCAACTACAGTTACATAGAGGAAAGTGTTCTCCAAGTTTCTAAACTTTTCCCGATTTCTCCCCAAATTTGACCACAAAAAGTAGTCGCTAAATCATCGGAAGCTTGATGATATCTCACCAATTTAGTGACACAGCAATTTATTTCAGTGATAAATAGACTTGCCTCTGTAATCTTATGTTTCCGGCAGAGCCTTCTTTTCTTGAAACCGTTAAGGTTACATCATAAAAATCCGTAACATTGCTCCCTTCCCAAGGTCTGCACGTTCCGGGCAGTAAAATCCTTGGTCAGGAAACCATACTTATAACTAAGGAAAATCAAGACAAAAACAAAATAAAAATTTCAATACCGTACAACAAATCAAATACTAAATAAATGTGTGACTTTACAAATTTATATACACATAGTACCATGGTCTTAGTAAAATTATTTACATTATTTACACTGTGACATATGGCCATAGTAAGGTCTAAGCTGTCGTGATGAATGACTTTATGCTTAGAATTTGTTCAACCAGTTCAGGATCGTGTAGGGACAATCCCAGGTGACTGCAGTTTAAGGGAAAGTCCTTTCCATCGAGTCTGATTTCATAACCATAATTCGTAATCTACTTTGAATAGCTGTCCTTTAGCTCTTTCGTATAGGATCTTAATCTCCTGCGTCGCCACGTGACTCGCTTTCGGGCAAAATTGTGCATCACTTCAAACCGCGTCTGAAGACTCTGAATGTACTCCTCAGGTGACGAAGGCGACCAATAACAAATCGTAAGGCAAGACGAAGGTAACGGCCGAAGAGTATCTGAGATGGCGAATAGCCAGTAGTCTTGTGGTCAGCACTGCGCTAAGCTTGTAAGAACGTAGGTAACGTTTGGTCCCAGTCCATTAGATTTCTGGAAATTATCACCAAGAAGTTATTAAGGATGGCTCGATTAAATTTCTCTGCAGTGCCGTCTGCCTGTAGATGTAAAAGTGTAGTTTGGATTTTATCTATGCCGCGTTGTTTATATAAATGTTTATTTTCCGCGGAGATAAAATTCTTTCCTTAATCCGTGTGTAACCATACAGGCTATCTGATCCTGGAAGTCTCATGCTGTATCATTCCTCTGCTACCGTGACAGCCTCTTGATCAGCAACAGGATACGCTTCAGGCAGCTTCATGAAATAATCAGTGACAACGAGGATGTATTTTTTGCAATCAGCAGTTCGTCGCAGTGGTCCCAGAATATCGAAAACGATGGGTTCAAAAGGCGCTCCTGCGCTGTAACTTCAAACCTTCCCTCGGCTTCGTTTCTTCGATCTTTTCCTACCCGCCCAGTGGTGGCAAGATAGGTGCTAGTTTAGCACGTGAGCCCTTGCATTACTTTAATAGAAACGCTCTCCAACTCTATGCAAAATATTCATTATTCCGAAGTGGCTTCCTATTGAACTGCAATTTGATTCTCTAATGGCAACCAGGATCCGGGATCTTGAAAAAATCAGCTGTCATCGGAATGCCCTTTCCATCATACAATTCGAATTTCCAGTATAAGCCGTTTCGAATATGGTGTGAGTCCCAGCGAACCCAGTGTTGTTTTGACGCATAATTGTAGATCGAAATATCCTACCAGGTAGGTATCTTAATTCAAGACTCTTTTAAGTCAGTTATGGGTTTAACATCGCCGTCTTCCAACCGTTCTGGATCAGACGAAGTTGAAGTTGTAACTTGACGTGCAACCCGTATAGCCCTCTCGTATTTCACTACCACCCTGGAACACTATGTGCAACGTTCTGGTTAGGGTCGTCTAAACAGATCGTTGACGTTTCCGTGTGATGATCCTTTTAATGCTGGGTAATGATGTCATATTTCTGGAGTATCTGATGGTAGTGGAAATGTTTTACGGCTTTCACTATGGTGAGGAACGTTTTGCTAGTGGCACATTAATTTCTGTTTAATAGACACTTACTCAATATGCTACGACATTTCCTTGAAAATTTATTCTATGGGACAAAACAGCACCGAAATTTCCATTGCTCGCATCAGTGTCAAGAATAAAAGATTCATCGAGTTGAGAATACGCCAGGATTAACACAAATTTTAAAGCCTCCACCAATTTCTAAAATGCATCCTGATACACTTTTGTCCGAAAAAGCTTTTTTTTGTTGCCCGTCAGTTCGTGAAGTGTTCTTGCGATGGAAGAAAGTTCCTTCCAATCCTGAAATCCTGCTTCTTAAATAGTAGATGCAAAGTCCCAATAAACTTCTCATCTGACTGATATTTTCAAATCTTATCCAAACTCTTCCTGTTTAGCAATTGGTCGAACAATTATTTGACGTCTTTGATAGTGTTAATTGGTGGACGATCACCAGTAACAATTCTAAACTGAGCTAAACTGGTTCAACCTACGTCAGAAGAGGAGTGAGAGACAATATCTTGAAATTCTCGAATGAGACGTTCTGCAGCATTTCTCTCTGCATTGCTCAATTGTGCATTCTGCAATAACTTCTATGTCAAACTTTAGAACTGCCGACCTAATTCCAATAGAACATTTCTGTAATACTCTTCCTAGAGAAAATACAACTATCCTCCATCTTCCCAGAAATCTACTTATAAATGGCGTTCCTGCTGGAGGGGAACCGACGACCATTAAGACACCTAAAACTACATTATTGCCAATGATTTGAGAGTTGTATGACTATTCCCCCCCAATAGGCTCTTTTTTGTTCGATGTTCCAACCTTTGTTTTGGACTATGCTACATCTATGAGCCTTGCAATGAACATGCGTGTCTACTATCAGATATGTGATGCATGCTTTTGTACTATATACATCAGTGGTCATACTAAATTTCATTAAAATGTGGATCATCCGTTCTGGAAATAACTGACCACATATAAAATTTTTCTTAATTTTGAAACCAATGTAAAATGGCGTTTCATACGCAGGGACTGATTGATTTGAATTTAGCCATCAATTCTGTCACCATCTTAGCCCATATAAAAAATTTACAACATAATTGTTGTCTGGTATTTAAAGGGAATTCGGACAAACATCGTACCAGATTTTCAAAGACAATTATGTGATGTGTCAGTGGCACTTCGGTACGAGCATTTTACATCCATAACAGCTGCTGTGTGTCTTCATTCTTATGCTCACTTTCCATTCCCTTGGCTTAAAACATGCTATATTTGGCAAGATCATATATAAATAGTGTGGCCTAGAAACAACGTAGATTTAAACGCTATAAAGTATATCTGGAAGATGCTGGGGAAAAACAATATTGCACATTAACACAACCACAGGAAGATCTTATTCCATTTTGAGTTCATAATATACCTCGAGAATAGAGTCAAAATCTAGTTTTGCTTATTCCATACTATTGTGCTGCAATCATCGGATCGAAAGGTGTCACATGTGTGTTTTGTCACTTTTTTATAATTGCAGTTTATGGTGATATTAATGCCTTATTAGTTATTACTTTTCATATTAAACATGGGATAGAATACCTTATTCAACATTTTGCACATCATTATATATATTATTATATATAACAATAAATAAAATTCCTTAAAGATAAATATTTGTAATAATTTATTTTCATTTTTTTTCAGTTTTGTATTCATTTTATGTTATAAAGAAATTTTAATAATTTCTGTCGACACACGAAAATTTGCCTCCTGACCATAGGCTTGCTTTGTGACTCAGACGTTAAGAACTGCTCTCGCAAAGGCAAAATCGTACTGAAAACACGTGTTTTTTTTTAGATAATTTTCAGAGGCATGCCAGCAAATCCATAATATTACTTGAAACATTTTTAGCTTATAACAGAAAATATGCGCCGACAACAAATTTTAAAGATACTAATACTTAGCAACAAGAATGAGTCCAGCATCTGTAAATTTGCAAGAGTATAATTTCGAAGGTTAAATTGAACCTTCTTCTTCAGCTGGGGGAGTGAAAATGAAGAAAGGAAATATTTGATTCCACTATAACAACAGACAGAAAATTTGGAAATTTCAGATTAAGAAGAATAAATGACGTCACTAGCAGCAATTAACGATAGAAAATGAAAGCAGTTTTAAAATAATTTCTTCTAATAAATTATTTTAAAACTGCTTTCATTTGCTATTGCAATCGTTAATTACTCCTAGTTCTTTTGTTCTAATAAATCTTTAGATGGATCCGAATTAAGATCATTACCAGAATACAGAATTTTTAAGAATCGCAAATGCCTCTAGGAATTCTAATTCGCGAACGAATAATGTTTTTTGAATAATTTAAAGAACGAAAAATGTGATTATGTTTTTGCCAGCAATGTTGTACAGTGGAAGATTTAAAAAGTTAATCTAACATATCCTTTCATAATCTAACGTACTCTAACATAATCTTTAATCTAACATACACCTTCCGTTCTTTTAAGATTCTCCTATTTTGACTAATATATATTAAGCCACACTGGAAAGTACTGCAGTAAATTCCACAGGAATTTATACTCAAAAAGGGTCCCAAAGGACTGATCATCGAATATTTAATCTTTGACACCATAAGTGTAACATGTCTTGCCTGCCCAAAAGCACGTTACGCTGACTCTTCTTACTAAATTTTAGTATTATTAAGATCTTCTAAATTGCAATACAATAAAACATAACTTTTAAAATTAAAAACATGCACTTATGATTTAAAAAGAAGCTAACATTTTGATATATTTCAGAAAGAGAATAAATGTTAATGTATGATGTGTTGTTTTATAGAAAAATATTTACTTTTATGTTGGATGAAATGTATTTATCATTGACATAATGAAAATAAGAATTAGATATTTAAATACTTTTTTACTAAAACGCACTTCTAAATATAAATTTGACCGAAATACCCTTTTTCAATAATTAAAAATTTCAATATTTAAAGAATGTTAGATTCATGTTTTAATATGTTACATATGTTAAGATATAGGTTTTTAAATTCAATAAAACGTAACTCTTATTCCCTTTCCTTAATCTGTAAACTTAATTAAACATTTATTATCTTTAAAACTGAATATGATATTTTCTCATATGTTAATCGAGTATAAGCGTTAATTTATTTCCTTCCATTAAGTGCTGCTTCACGTCGTTCATTATTTGAGAAATTAATCTCCAAAAAATGAAATTACTCGCATAATGAGGCATATACAATGGCGCTTTTAATACTTACTCTTGACACGTTTAACCCACATACCACCGAAACCTCATTATCCCCCTACGATGTAACGAAAAACAAATCCCCCCGCCCTACTCACTTTTCCCTTTTCTGTTTTATCAGGTACAGCCAGCACACCGAGAACCTGAGAGGGGGCGAGGGAGCGAAATTGATTATCGAGAAGGTTGAAAGGGAAGATTCAGCGTCTTTTACCTGTACAGCGATGAACGACTTTGGAGAAGATTCCATGAATTTTCAATTAACTGTCCAAGGTAAACAGATTTCGAAATTTCCTGGATAAGAAAGTCGTATCTTTTATGTCCCCCTGCCCTGATATATATTGCCTAATACATCAAAGCCAGGCTCGGTGAGACTTTACTGAATTTTTAATCAGTCTCTCTAACCTAGGAAGTCAACAGCATGAACGAGTTTTTCTTAAACAGCGCAGTGCTATTCCGTATTTATTGACAACGGAATTACAGTACATTTAAAATATATCTCTTCTCCAGTAAAATGCTTTTTAGTGTCTCAGGTTTTGATTGCCAATTTAAATTTGCAAATATATACATACTTGTGTATCAAATAAAGGTATAATTTTCCCCTTGTAATTGAATACCAAATACGAAAGCTACCTAATTGATAAAACTTTCCAGCTTTATGAATATACACTACAGAACTCACGTAAAGAGATGAATGCCTAATTTGTTTGTAAAATTTAGTTTAAAGATCATTTCAAATAACGTCTAATGGTGTATAAAACGTGTAGAATTTCGTTAAAAAATATAGTTTAGATCCAAGTCAATGAGTAGTTTTTATTTGTTTGTTTCTTCTTCATGTATATCGGTTCGGCTTTCAACCTAGATTTGTCCTAACCTAGATAGAGAAATTCTTTTGGAGCTTATGTACGTAGTGTTAAATTATTTATTTAAAATATAAAACCGTTCTAAGGTGAATTACGTTTTTTTTACTTTTACCCTGATTTTTTTTTATTTAACTTAATCATCAACGCTCATAACTAATACATAAGAATGTTTTCTGAATGTACTGATATATTAGTGAGAAAGATCTTTTTAACTGTTTGCTTAAAAAGCATTTGTGAAGATATTATATTTTTGTATTTCAGATTTTCTTAGTCTTCGAAATAAAGAATATATTTCATTATATTATGCAACTGAATGACGTGCTTTTTGCTTATTTTTAGAACCACAAAAATTGCTTCATATTATTACGCGCTATTACAGAAGATGGGATTTTAATTTTTACAATTTGATTCTACAGAGAAGATCTTAAAATCTTTGGCTTTAAGATATGCCTTTGAATTAAACTTTAAGAAACATTATATAACATCATAAATATTTGAATAATTTTAAAAATTCATTAATTGAAGAACATAACATAATTTTCCTCTTTTTGTTATATTCTAACTTATATAATTTTCGAAAGTTTAAAAAATCCACGTAAGATTGACGAATGTTTAATTTACTTATAATCGCGTCATTTATTATCGAATTTGACAGAAAACTTATTAAGCTGTTTAATGGTAATATAAATTAAATCAGGTGATGCCCTTTGTGAATAAATTCTTAGAAATTATTCATGAAGGTCATCAGGGCATATTTATATTTTAACTATATATTCGACGTTTCCCCAAATTTCAATATAACAGTAATCTTGTTTTATGTGGTTCCAAGATGTTCCTGATGCCCCTCAAAACCTTGAAGTGCACGATGTTGGAAGTCGCTCGGTTCGATTGACATGGAACAGGCCGTTTGATGGTAATTCCCCGATATTAAAATACACAGCATCGTGGAGAACAGTTGAAGGTAAGATTTATTGTACTTCCGAAATTGTTTCGGAAATATATTATCAAAAAATTCGATTAGCAGTTTTTTAATTATGAAAACATTTTTAACCGCTTAACGACCTCGCCCGAGATATCTCGGGAATAGATGCTGTTGCGATTTTCCTATGAACGAGCATATGTTTTCTTAGTTGTGGGAGGGGTCCAAGCCGCTTTTGTGATTACCCTCGAGATCTAAAGGCGGTATTGTCCAGATTGCGATGTGCCGCTATGTGCTACACCATGTTTCAGAATGTACCATACTGTCAATGACATTTATAGATCGTAAAAGGTATTTACTTGATTTTTACTTTAGTCCTTATTACCTATTATTACCTAGACTACAGTTCTGTGTTAATTTTGGCTAGACTGTGGTTTTTTGGGGGCTGCCTCATTGAAGCCCGAGTTAGCTTCGGTAATGTCATGAACCATAGTAAATATCTTCTTTTTCCCTCGAAAAAAAAATTTTTTTCGCCTTATAAAGCTAAATCTAGTGTATCTGTAGATAATAAAAATATCTATAGATATTCTGTAGCTATACCTGTAGATAATAAAAATGGTATAAAAATCATGAATTTTCAGCATAATTTTTAATATAAATTCGGTCATTAAACGGTTAAATTGAATTTATTTCAATTTTGTGCAGCTTCTTTTTTTAAATGTCGAAGTCCAGAATATAATACTAATTTTGCAGACTATCCTATTAATTATTAAAGAGAAACATTTAAAATAAAATAATCGAAATTTATTTAATCCTCATTTACTTAAAAATATTATTCTGTAGGCGAAATGAAAGCTATTAAGAATCCAAAATCTTTGTATTTAGTAGCTTTACATCTTATGTAAAAACAATTAACACAGAAATGCACTTTGTAACATGATTTTTGAAGAATTTTACTGTCCAAATTTTAATTACAGTTATATATGCACTTGATGGCTTTATATATTAAAATTCTAAATATATGTTCCTTTTTACTTATCTCTGTCAGAGATCACCGTTATGCTAACCTACTAAGAAACAGCAATCTTCTTAAGTTGGAGGAAACATAAGCATTCGTTTTGTGGTGTTCATATTTCCTCTTGTATAAATATAACTTACAAACTTTGGAAGAAATCGAGTAACACGCCTGTCAATCTCAACATGATTGATAATTTATATCCGAATATGTGAAGTCCTGCGAGGTGGTTATATGATTGGTTACGAGGTTTCTTAAGTCGCAAAGATCATTCAACGTCACTGACAGTCTTAAAACACGCTATCTTCGAAGCATACACGTCACTTAAGGAATTCAATTTTTGATACCTATACACCTTAGCTCACTTTACGACAGCATTCAGTTACAATGTCTATTCCATTCAGCATTTATTATGGGTTACGCTGCTGTTTTTCGGGCCGAAGGGCCATCTGGCGAATTTAACCATAACTGTTAAGTACTAATTCTTTAAAGAACAAAAAAATAACGTAAATATCTGTATTTCCATGATTGCGTTAATATGTAATGCAATTTATTGAAACACAAATTTTTATTATTTATGTATTCAAAATATGCAAATTTACTTATCAAAGTATCTACCGCATGCCTTCTTTATAATTATTATTATTCTTTATAGTTATTATAATTATTATTATGGAATTATACACAGTTTTTACTGCATTTCATTGAAATTTATTTCCCCAAATTTCGTTAGAGCTATATCTCTCATTCAGTCAATTCAGTTCTCCCTTCATGGCAAGGCAGAATTACATAAAAATTCAAAACATCTTCAATAAAAATTGTAAAATAGAGAAAACCTAAAACACCAATACAGTTAAAAGCAGTAATAGAAAAACTATTTTTGCAATAGATTAGAGTTTCTACTCCAAAACAAGCAATTCGTCCAACGGATAGAAAGACACAAATTTCGGTGCACAAACCTGAAAATTTATTTTTGGTCCCATTCGACAAAAGGGCACTGAAGAAACTGATTTCATTCACTATTCTACTAAGAATTCCAAATGTAAATAAATATTTCTCATATTAGACCTAACGGCACTTAAACTTTTAAATTTTTGATACATTTAAAATTATTGCATAGAGATTAACAACATTTTATGGCAGTTGCACAACTACATGTTATGTCAGTCCCATGTACAAAATTTCAACGTTCTGATGCTACTCGTTTTTGACTTACGCGAGGTACATAACATACATGTACGTAAGTAAGTACAGACATCACGGAAAAATCTCTTCCGAATTAATTTCGAATAAATTTTGAAAAAAATATCACTTTATTCTGTCTGTACGTACAAATGCAAAGCAAAAGAATCATTCGAATAGATTCGAGAATGTTCAAAATGGGAATTTATTTGAAATATGATACCCTAATATGTCCTTTGCTTTCTGCAAAGGAGTAGAAAGCACAAACATATTTCTGAAATCAAAGGTTTCAGGGTTCAATACTATAGAAAGTATTATAGAGCTATAGTTCTATATAAAGTATTAGATGCTAATAATTTTAATGCAAAAGATCAAAACTGAAAATAATTGGCTTTGGCTTTTTATTATGCACATGTATTAAAACATAAACGAAGGATATAGGCAACTTTAAATCCATTTTATAATCCGTTTGGGGGAAAAAAGAGTCCTTTGGTCTGTCGTTAAGTACAGATGTCAAGCAAAAACATCGTTAAATTCATTCGATAGCGGTCGAAATGGATGTTTTCGTTGAAATACGACACCCAGAATTTTTCGTGACTACAATACTTCCTTTACGTCTTACAGGGAAGTAAACATTGAATTGTATTTCACACTAAAATATCTAAATTTTCTTGCCTATCCGATATTAAGTTCCACGTGCTAATTTATGTCTCCATAAAATTTTTTCAAAATTTATTATATATGTATTCTAAAGTTAATAATCTTGTAAAAGTTATTGAGTTATGACAATATTCTGATCACGAAATTTTATACTGAAGTCCTTTTCTTTCTGAAATATGAAGCGTATAGCTTTCGTTATTTACCTCCGATATCTTTTGGAATAATATTTCCTTTGCTATCTTTAAATTCTCTGGACTTTTATCAACCTTATACAGCAAAAAACCTAAAATTAAAGCTGAGGAATCCTTGCACAATCGGATAAAAAACAAAAAGCTGAAAGATGAAACAATACTTAAGAAGAAAACCAGATATGAAAAAGGTCAAATCTACAAAAGTATCTCTGAATTCGATTGGGAGAAAACAAATTTTGCTCAAAGGACACAAAAGTGCAATTACAGTTACAGCCAAAGGAAATGTCAGAAAATTGTACTGAGCGCGTTAAGTAGAAAAACGTTGCTTAAAAAATGCAGCTCAGTGATACTTGTATTTGTTTATGTCATTAGTAAGATGATTTTGCGATCGTTACCCTCAACAACAAGAATTGTCTGAACGCAATCTTTAATAAATATATTATATATTCGCTATGGGAAAAGACGAAGCAAAAACATTGCATCCTGCTTAAATTTCTCTTTTATTTCCTAGTATAATCAGTTACATTTTAAAGCAGCCAAATAAAAATTCTTGCTATTGAAGAATTTTAGCTTCGAAAAACAAAATTTATATTTTTTTAGAGCATCCCAAAACCGTCTCATTAATTTCGAGGATTTCTTTCAGTAAGGTATCTTTCAGATAATATCTTTCGAGGATTTCTTTCAGTAAGATATCTTTCAGATAATATCTTTCGAGGATTTCTTTCAGTAAGATATCTTTCAGATAATATCTTTCGAGGATTTCTTTCAGTAAGATAATTTTTAAAAAAAATTAAACAAACCTAATATTGATCCTGAGGTTCGCATAACAAAAAGCTTGTATCAACTTGAAAAATTAGGTCTTTAAAAATTATAATTTAACAAAATTAAAATTTCATGAAATCATTTGAAATTTCTCGAAAATTTCTTGAAAATGCGATACGCGAAATAGAATACTATTTTATTCCTTACTTATTCAAATCAGGAAATTCTGATGTGGACACTACAGGATTTCCCTGTATGCCCTATTAAATTATACACATGTTTTGCTTATTTACTTTAAATTTATTTCCAACAATTATACATAGCTCTCTATGCTATGAGATTGGTTATATATTATTAATTGGGTATATACACATTTCTGATTCAAATAATTCAGTTCTCACTTCGCGGCAAGGCAAAAATACATAAAAACTCAAACCATCTTCCTAAAAATTGTAAAACGCATGAAAACTTAAAACAGCAAATACAGTTATAACAGTTAAAAATTAATTTGCAGTTAAAATTAGAGTTTTTCGCAAAAACAAGCAATCGGGCCAGACGGCAGGAAAGCAGCTCTTTCGATGCACAAATCTAAAAGTTTAGTTTCGGTCCTATTTTTCAAAAAGACACTGAACGTGCAGAAACTGATTTAATTCACTATTCCACTAGGAGTTTTCAAACGTAAACAAATGGCGGTTTCGTTAGGCTTAGTGACACTTAAACAACATTTAAATTGTTGATAATTCTACAACTATTGCACTCAGATTAATTAAAAGCATAAAAACTTTAAATCGAACATAAGAACAACATAATTCAATCCCTTTTAAAGCAAAAAAATCACAATTTACCAGCATATAATAATAATAAAAAAACTCAGCTCACCGAGGGGGGTAACAGATTGGTTATATATTATTGATTGGGATTATATATATATATATAATTATTTCTCTCTCTCTCTCTATACATACATATATACTTTTGGTGCATCGATTGCAACCAAAAAAGGAGGTGCACAACTGCATGTTATAGCAATCCCATATACAAAATTTCAACATTTTGAGTTATGCGAGATACATACGAATGTCCAGATGTCACAAAAATATTTTCTGAATGTATCTTAAATTCAATTTTCAGTCCGTTTTGGAAAAAATAGTTCTTTTTTTCTGTACTTAAGTATAGCTATCACGCAAAAACATCGATTAAATCGATTCGACAGTGGTCAAAATGGATATTTT